GTTTGTTCGTTTCTCTCTCTCTCTCTCTCATGCGCGCGCGCACACACACACAACCCATATTCAGATCATAATTAAGCCACACAAATGTAACATAGGAATTGGCTTTTGTAGGTAAAGAAATCACATAACACCATACAAACTTTCAAAAATGCTTAGGTGAATATGAGCTTTACAATTTAGGAGCTGACATCTGAACACGTTCTGGGATAAATTAGTTGATATGAGACATTTCTCTTAGTGGGCTGATAAATGATCTAATCACAGTATTAAGCAATTAATTAATTAATTTAATGTATGCCGCCCATCTTGCCAAAGGCTTCTTGGATAAAATGCAATGTCAAAGATTAAAACCATAAAGAAGGATCTTAGTTTTCAAAATTCAATTAAAATAAAAGAATGGAGAGGGAGGGAACTCTTTTTACTTATGTGGCACCCAAGGTAGACTACTTGGGACTGTAATTTCTAAATTAGGTGGACACAGTGATACTGTTTAACTTCCAAACTTTTCTGATAACTTTACATGCTAAATTAGGTAGAAAAACAAATCCTTACCTTTTAGTCTAGACAACACTAATTCCTTCATCATTTGCATAAAGACGATTCCAAGTAGTATGAGTGAAATCAGGTGGTAAAATTTCCAAGGAGTTAGTGCTAGGAACCTACAAGAGAATTACACCACAATTATTTCACTGACCTTAGAGAGTCTCTCTTCTTTAAAAAACTACATGAAATCACCAGGAATCAAAATCAATTTAAAAGAAAACCTAATTTTGTGAATTTAATGTGACTGTTTGCCAAGTTTAATTTAAAAAAAGTTCTGTGCTGTGTTGCCATTAAGCAAACGTTGTGTAAAATGTAGAATAGAATAGGATAGGATAAGCTGGAAGGAACCTTGAAGGCAATATAATTTTTAAAAATTATAATTTAAAAAATTGTTTCTCCACTTTCCACCCCCCAAAAAGAATTATTTGCCAAAAGCAAAGAATTATTTATAGGCCCACTCTTATGATTTTGGAAGAATATTATTGAATTTGTGGGGATGGGAGAAAAATTAAATGTTATTTTTCAAAATTTTACTCTAGATTTAAATCTTCAGAAACCACATATTTTTTTTTTTTTAAAAAAAAAACAGTCTGAAAATGTATACATCACATTGTGTCATCGTAAAGTTTGGTTTAGCTTT